CTAAAATGAACAGGTTTAATGGTGAGTATCCTCAAACACCCTACAGCACGAAGGCAGTTAAGCTAAAAAGAAACAAAGCTTTAATAAATGAGAACTCAAAACATATTCTTCCAAGCTGGAAGAGGATAAACATACCATGTTAAAGAAACAGGTGTCAAGAGAAGCAAGACACAGAAGAGTTAGAGACCATTTAGCCTAGTTTCAATTTCCAGAAAAATCAGTTAGCTAGATACTCCTGTCTCACCCACCTAGAAAATAAGACAGTAAAAGCTAAGAAATATGGATATGTCAAAAAAAAAAAAAGTAAAACTAACCTTTCTATGACAGGATAGGCTTTTTCAGAGGACCAGTATGCACCTTGACATTCTCAAAACTGCTACAGAAACATGGTCCAGTAACAGCAAACAGTGGGCAGTTCTCATTTGTCTGTGTTCACGTAACTATCCATATGAAAGGACCAAGTTTGTGGCACACAGCAAGGGTCTTTCCTTTGAACACAATGTATGCTTATGAAACCTGCAGGTAACGCAAAGCTGCAAGCGTACTACAGGAAAGGATCAAAACTAACAAGATCTTTGATAAACTGGAGAAGGCATCTGAATACACAGGATATAATTCAATTTGAATAAAAGCAAAGAACTACACTCAAATATATACATAAAATTAACTGCATAAACATGAGTGACTCACTTAGCAAGAGCTGCTGCTACAGCAGGTTCACAAACTGCTCTGAAAAAGGCAGGAATAGGTAACAAGGAGCAGTAATTTGCAAGACACTTGAAGCAATCTTCTCATACTCCTTGACAACAATCCACCAGGCAGACACTGTCCATTTTCAGCACTGTATTTTAAGAAAAATACGGATAACTGAAGGGGAGAGCAGAAGACCGATGAGGATATAACATGTAATGGTAGACTGAAATAACTCAAACTACTTAATCTGGGGAGGGGAAAAAGAAGGAGCTGTTAAGCCATCTTCAAATACATAGAACACTAAAAGAAAAGCATAAACTGCCCTGTCCACTCAAGATCAGAATAAAAGGACTGGCAGGAGGATTAATATAGAGAACAAACAAGAAGGAAAAAAAAAAAAAAAAGATTTTTTCAAACAGATTTCTTTGGGAAGTATGGAATCACTTAGAGATCTCCAGCAAACACATCAGACCAGCATGTGTCAGATATGGCTTAAAAATGGTCAATCTTGTCTTGAAGCACAGGAATTGTTGGGTACTGCTCAGCATTTTACTTCACCTGTACTAAGAAGTTGCCTCTGGGACAAGACTGAAGCACAGTAAAATGAATCCACTAAGCACTGTTATGGTTCAACACGAAACTTTGGGGTTTCAGCAAGGTAATAAAAATTTACACTTGCCCAGCATGAGGACACAGTAATGGGTTCAAAATATTAGAGGCATTTTCTCCAACAGCACTAAATAGCTTAACTGATGTAAGCTGCAAGTAGGTGGCAAAAGCCGAATATTTCCATTCTTTGAAATCCTCATAAGACCCTAACAAGTAAGATTCATAGCAATCAGGTAACTGATGCAGCTGTTGCCATCTACACAAGTGATGGAGCCCAGGGATATACTTCAGCAGATGGCTTTCCACCACCTGAAAGAGTGACTTACTGGCTACAAGGATACCCAGACTAATTCCATTTTTCCCAATTATAGAAACAGTCTGACCAAGCTTACAGACAGTTCACAGAAACAGAGCTGTTCCACTAATCTAAAAAAATTAAGAGTTAAGGAGTACTTAAACATAGGCCCAAGCTAGGTGATGAAAAACTCCCCAAGTCCTCTCCCCCCAAAATTTAAAAGCTAATTCTGATCAGACAGAACCAGTTCCAACATAAACTCCTTTCTCTTGTGCCTGCTGTAACTATTCTCACAAGCTTCTGCCCGCTTCTAATCTCTTAACAAGTGAAACTGTATTACTTCTGTCTGACACAATACCTGTGTCAGAAGCTGAGAGGAGTTCATTTTCAAGTCTACAATTGTGAAAACTAAGTAAATTACTCGAGAGATGCAGATTTTCCAGGTAGACTTCACAAGACTCCAACAGTTTTGATCTTGCCAACAGAATTTATTGTGGAATCTGCCTCTTACTGCCAAACTCAGTGACTTGAAAATATGCATCACTTAAACCCAAAAAAACTCATCTGCCGCAGAACAGGAGGTAGAAGATTGTTGAGTAGTACTGAAAGAATCAACTTGAGAAATAAAAACTCTGATAAAATACTAATACTTCCCATTTCAGGTTTAGCTCATCCCTCCTTTTCATTATTTTTCTTATACTTCTTTAGATCTTTTTAAATACTTACGTTTGTCAGACTGAGTACATGTGCTACAATGAGTTCTCTAAAACAACCAAAGAACCCTCATTTCAGTGCATTAGTTAAAATTAGCAAAGCAATACCCAATTTCTTAAGGCTAAAGAAGGTCGAGATAGATACTCAGAGCAGACCTGATAAAGTTCCTACTTAGACATCAGAAAATGACTCACCTCTCAACTGAGACTACACAACAACTGCAAGGCATTGCTCAGGCAGCTCAGGACAACAGGGAGCACAGCGCTTTTGCAATGTAGGAACAGAAAACTACATTTAAAATTTCAATGAAATATACTGCAACAGCACATTCGAATCCATTTAAAAGATTCATGGAGAACCCAACAAGACAGGAGAATATTATCAATCTGCACAAAACGTAACAAGTTATGCAACCATTTAGTACCTTTTACAAGGGAAGGTAGAGGCAGAAAACTGAAAGAGAGAGCTAACTGATACTAATGAATGGGAAATTTACACACACCCCCAAAAATACAGCTCAAGGTTAAAACCACAAAATTCACAAGTCTCAGATTCAAAAAGGTCCTGTCATATCCCTAGAGGATGAGCACTCTGACATGGTATCACTATGACTACTAGACTCTCATGCTCCTTCCTAGACATCTTTGATGCTGGCCCCAGTCAGAAGGGAGAATACTGAGCTAACAAAACCTTTCAGCTGTAGCAGATCACCTGAGTAAGACAAAATAAGCAGCCAGAATAAGACAAAAAAAATTAAATAATACAGAAAAATAGAATCAATAGCTAGGCAACCAAGATACTGACTTAAATATTCCAGGAAACAGCAATGCTATCGAAAACAATATGAGTAAGTCTGGTATACGCCTGTATACGTTATCTGTAAACACTACACCCTTTATGTTAGCAAAAATACAAGGAGCCAAACATCTTCTGTCAAGCAACCAAACTCTGACAAATGATAAAATGCTACAAAAACTGACTGAAAAACTGAAGGAAAACAAAGGAAGATACCAGAACTAAACCTCCAGCCAAGTAAAATACAGCAGACAGCCTATGAAGCTGACCAGTTGAATACTATAATAATAGTTTGGCTTCTTTCATCTACTACATTCTCTCTCTGTTCCTCCTTCACTTACAGAAAAATGGGAAATTTTTCTCATCTCAACCCCCACAACCACAGGACTGATTTAACTACCCATGTTGATGATACCATTGTAATACCAAGTTAATCCATCCTTTCCGTAAAATAATTCCATTATAGTTCAAAAAATAAAATTTGGGCTTTTTTTTAAGTATTTCTTTAGGGCAGATATTAGCACTAGGCTATGCTTGTATTAATGCTGCCCAAAACAACACGTTGGACTTAAAGAACATGCTTAAAAGGGCAGATCCAGCTTTTTTTATATAAAATGACCCAAGAGCAGCTCTGGGTAACTGCCCATAATATGTTCTGTGATTTTTACTATTAAAGTAATGATTCAATTTACATACTGGGGGGGCGGGGGGGAGTAAATATATTTCACAGACTTTTCATATTCCATGGCAGTGGATATTTTCTTAACCAGCACTGCAAATGCTCCCTTGCAGCAACATTTCAGTTCTGCATATCCTTGTGGATAACACACACCTGAAATTTGTCAATAAATGCAATAGTGTTCAATGCAAATGTTTATGTAGCTGAAGAAAAAAAAATCATGTTTTTAATCAAAAAGATGACAGTACAACTTACACTTGAACTCTTCGTAATTGTCTAAAAACTGAAGACTAAACCAGTTTAAAGGTGCTCCACACAACATCTAAATTCACAAACGGGGAGTTAAACAAGCAATTGTGAGCTAAAGTTGATATAATGAAAAACAGGACTGAGTTTCTTCATAAATGATTTTGGAATATCTGTATGGGCTTTCCATAATACCCTCATCACCAAGGTGGCAGTCTAAGAAAGTTAGAATTTCCCCCCCACTCCCCAAACTTAAAACACCCGAAATATAAATAATTTATATGCAACAGTAATGTATCTTCTACAGCAAGTTAATAAATAGCAGAGGTGATGCTTAATCAGTAGCTGTTCTTAAGAAAGTATGCAGTCATTTCTCCAGGGTGTTCAAAAGCTGCTTGCCATTTTGCCACGTAACTTTAACAGCTTTCAAGAGAATACAACTAGCTGGGGGGAAACACAAAGGGGTAAAGATCAAATTAGTAGCCACCATTAAGTTCTCCTTTAAGGATGGATTTAGAAGCCTCAAACTACAAATGCAACTAATTAACTGTGCCCTACACAGGTTTTATGTATAACATTATTCTAATGTATTAAAGCATTTCAGTTTTATGAAGAAGTTCATACAGATAAACTACAGTTCAGACACCCAGACAGCCGCGGCTAAATAATTTTAACCCTCCAAAACTCACGGTTAAGCTTCAGCTACAGAAACAAATCCAAAGAAACCTACACACACACATGCATGCAAACACCTCCCCTCCCCCATAAAATCCAATCTTACATCTCAGTTAATAGGCTCCTTATCTTTAATATTGCAGAACTAACTTATTACTTGCAGAATGCCCTTCTTTCTAGTCTTCTGCGTCATCCACACAGCACAGCTAATAGTAACTGTATTCTAAAAAAGCCCATTCACAGTTGTTTGAAACCGTTATATGACTTTAGAAAGTAAAATGTATAACCTCTTACCTGAGCATGAAAATTTGACATAGTCGTTGTCTCTATATCTTTCTTTCCCAAAATCTCCATTTTCACTGGTGAATTGGGAAAATTAAACGAAAAGTAGTCTAAAAAGTCAGGTAAATAAGTAGCTGCCCCATGAACAATACCCATTACATAGTAAGCTGCACAGTTTTCATTTTCACTAAAAACCAGACCCACAAACTCTTCTGCAAATCTCTCCATCTCCACAGGAGATAAGTGGGAGAGTTCATTACTGTAGGCATGGATAACTGATGCACCTCCGTTAGGCTGGTGCTCAATATGAATCAGCTGTTTGAACTCCAATGTGTCCAACCTTTTGAGTTTATTTTGAACCCGTGGCTCCTTTAACGAGACAAATGGAAACTCACTGTTCTCTGGTATCTTGGACTCACAGTCCTTCTTGGGATCCATATTTTTCCCATTGAAATCCTTAAGATGATCATCTATGATGCCTTTGGCTTCCTGATCCTCAATATCAGAAACCAATCCTGAGCAGATGGTCTGAATGGATTTGCTGTACATTTTTGGACGCTTCCTCTTCTCGTTCTCTTTATGTTTCTTTTTCTTTTTCTTCTTAACTTTTTTGATCTGGAGCTCTTCTGCATTGGTTTTTGGTTTCTCCTTCCCACCTGTTGAGAGGAAAAAAAGATCTCTTGAGTGTCTTCATATACAAAATATGTATTTAAAGATCAGGTTTTGAAGTTACCAAAACCCTGACCATGGTACACAAAGACGAGACACCAATACCGAGTGTCACAATGTGTACCTTACTGAAAATGAGTAGTAAGAGACACCTGTCACGTTCACATTATGACTGACAAATAAGCTGGGGGGGAAAGGGGAGGAAATCACAGAAAAAAAACCCAAGTTTCCCAAGCTGCTTTCATTGTGAGTCACAATCCTTAATTATACCCTTTAGCTGGTTATCAGCTATTACTATACCAGAAAGTTCAGAGACGTCATATGACAGCTGTCAAAAAATGTTGCTAAACAAGGGATTTACAAACGGTCAATGAATATCAATCATCATCAGCAAGCTGTTCACAAGATGCCACTGACAGAACCTACGTCGTCAGATGGCTTTACATGGTCATTCTTCCAAAACTAAATAAACTCTGTTGAAATACATGTGGAAACATCTAAAAACTGACCCTATACTCCTTAAAAAAAAAAAAAAAAAAAAAATTTAACAAACCAAACAAAAATCAACTAAGCAAAAAACCCCACCAAAACCGCACAAAACAGAAACTAGCTTCAAGTTGCAAGCTGAACTGAAAACAAACTGTAATGACCTAAAGCCAGAAGTACTCATCTAGAGATAATGTGTTCAAGTGATTCACAAGGCAAACATTCTCCCTTGTTTTAAAGTGTTTTTCTTCAAGTGTTTTGTGGGGTTTTTTGCCAGTAATAAATGCAGTAGCCAAAAAAAACCCAAACAAACTTCTGTCACCACACTGCCCTAAAGTCTAGAAGTTGAAATAATTTCATAATTTGATAAATCAAATTACTGGACATGTTACAGTGCAAAATTATATTTACAACAAGCAATTCAAGATCAGCAGGCTCAGACACAGAAGTTTAGTCTTGCAATGAAATACACAATTTCTAAGTAATCTCAAATTCACAAAAGTTAGCCAGTCTCTACTACTATACTGTAGTAGACTATTTTCAGCTTGCAATCCTCAGCTCAATTCACAAGAGTCCTTTAAAAAAAAAAAAATCACTACTGTTGGTGCATGGGATCACACAAACTTGCTGATAATTCAGAGGTTTTGATATGAAATGTACAGATACTGGAAAGGAGAACAATCAAGACACTTGCCTCTGAGCCTCTTCAGGCTTGTGACAGCAGCTACATACTTCTGGGATTTCTGAAGTGGAGGCAGGTGAGCTAGTTATCTCTCTAGCTTCTATTTTCTCATCTTGTGGGGGGAAGAAGTGCCCTGAGGTCACTCATTTCTTACTTAGCCCAAACAAGGAAGTGGGCTCTAGGATTTCTTAACCTAATCCACACAGTTAAGAGCTACAAAGACTCCCTTTGCTCTAAATCAGATTTAACATAGCACATTTTGCAAGGAATATGAGCACAATTTCACTTTTAACTAACCAAGTTCAACTGCCAAAAGGCACAGTATGCTCATGAAAATCTGTCCTTTCATTAGGCTAAATTTAATGCAAAACCAGCGTGGGCCTCTGCGACCGAACTACTTCAGCTGGTGGATGCAATATTCACCGCTTCTCTGTTAACATCTTCCTTCTGCCACAAGAGCCTTTAAATCTAGCGAGCATGGCAAGACCAGAAAGAGCCACAACACACATACAACCAACTACCTCAACCTTAGAGGAGTCCTGAAAGTAGTGCACTGAGGGTGCCAGGGTACTTGAGTGAAGTGTCATGACCTGACAAAAATCACCTGCTGCTTACATTCTGGGGTACTGTAATAGTGTTATTACGACACCAGTTCCATTCAGGGGAAAGTAAAAACAAAGAAATGGTTTATAACAGTGGGAAGTTTCATATTACAGGCTCAATCCAAACCTCAAAATACAGACTACAGAAAAGGTAATTTTTTCCCTCCTCCTGACTGCAGGAATACACAACTAAAGAGCATCCAAGAGTCTACAGGTATTTCAAACTTTTAAAAATGCTTTAGCTTACCATTTTAAAATTGTTTCTCTCTAAACATAAAAATTTGTTGCTATACTGACAGATAGCATAAAGTTCTCAAACATTTCCAGGTATTATATTAGTTTGAATATAGAAAATATGGAATTATAGCACTGAATGCTGCAGCAAGGTGAAGCAGGGATTACCTGTCAGTCCACTTCACTTGTTCTTAAATGGAGTTCAGATTTTTGTAGGGACTAGTCACTCAGATCTGGGACTTCATGCACAGCAGGGAAAGGATGGAAATTTATATTCATTGGGGTACAATCGGCAGTAATATGGCCACAAAATACAACAACTTTAAGTTTAAAGCAAGAAGCTATTTGCTATGGCAAGAGCCATATTGCTTTCTCATACTTTAGCATGTCCATAATCACCAAAGAAAACCATAAGATGACTGAAGATCAGCATCTGTATGTCCTTGCTGAACGTCCAGCTATTAAATTACATTCCATTATTACTAGCTGAAATGTAAAGTACTTGCATAAAAGACTGGTATAAATCTGTATCTGTCCAAAACTCACTCAAAATTTGTTGACTTCCGTTTCTACAGAATGAGAAAGAAGATTATCTGATTTCCTCTTTCAATCTGTCCCATTCCCTGCCTTTGATCATATCTTCCAAGAAGTATTACTGACTATCAATTTCATTCAACTCCTCCTGTAATACGTTGTGGCTGGTTTTTTAATCCATCACTTAAATTTAATGTATTTCACAGAGGCAGCTATGTCAAAAAAAAAAACCCAAACCACCCACTTTTAAGGTTACAAACCTAATCTTCAGTAAACAGTACTTGAAAGAGCAAAGCCATGGTCTCAAAAGCAGTGGTGCTTGTAAGACAGAAACAACAAAAACAACCCCAATGTAACATACACAATGAAAAACAGATAGACAGAATGTAAATGTAAAAATATAAATTTAAATTTGACAGTGTCAAATTATGCAAAGTTCACATAAAACACATCCAAAAAGATCTGCACTCAAAATCAGTTGTAAAAATATGTTTTAGTTAGCTTGGTATACACATCTACAGAAGTACTCAAAACCTTAAGAGGAATTACACTAGGTTTTTAAAGTGAAGAACATCAATCATTCTCTGTGTTTGTTTTCACATCATCTCCATGAAACCTTCAGAAGACGGCGGGGGGGAGCTATTAACCACAGGATAAAAATAATTCTTTTTGTGGTATCCAACACAGTCCTCCTTCCAGCTTGAAAAGAAATTTTCTGTTTGGCTTTAAATACAAGTATTTTAGTAGTATAGACTGGTTTTACTTTTGATCACAGACCTCAAGGGTTATGCCATTTACACATATATCAAGTGTTCAAGTTCATCAGTACACGATTCTCACTTTGAGAAGTTGCAAAAATGGTGCGCACAATTTGGAGCCAAATAAATATCCACTAGCAAAGTGTACCAAAAAGGGTAGAACTAAGGCTATTTTTAATTCTGAAACACCTGGAAACCAAGAGAACAACAATCACTGAAGGAACAAAAGGCAGTATAACCAAAAAAAAAAAAAAAAAAAACAGCAAAAGATCTACCATGGGAAGTAGCAGAGACCCCTGAACTGCTACTTGCAACTGGGAAGAGAGAGAGAGAGAGAAAAAAAAAAAAAAACAAATCACAATGGGGAGTCTCTATCCTTGGGAGACAAAATATGAATCCCTTCTTCAAGACTCAGAGCTACTGATGCTACTGGAGATGAAAAAAGCCTTAAACCACAGAAGCCAGAAGAGAAAGGAGATTCCAAATGGAATTTTTTCAAAACATTACCAGAATTAAAGACTTCAAAAATAAATTACATACCAACAAGAGTAAAACTTAGTTCTCTAAAAGCACTTCAAGCAGAAATTGAAAGATGACTTCAAAAATTTGAAATTGAAATTGAATTTCAAAAAGGCTCAAAACAACAAATTGCACAAGCTTATGCTACTGCATACCACACAAATTCTGTCAAGAAGTCTACTTCATTTTCACATTGGCAGCAAATGACATACTTAGGAAAAAATATTTTTAGATACTTTGGACACTGTATATCATAGAGAAAATTATATTTATATTATAATGTTAAATTGAATACTGAAAGACTGGAAAAATGTCAAATTCATAATTATTTGTTTGGCCTTCAAATGTGGATATATAATACAGCTCAGCAATCTAAGATGTCATTGCCACAGATGGGTAGAGTCCAACCCCCCACTCTCCTCTGCCACTGCTCCTGGCACACAGTCCTGCACCATTCCTGGTACTGACTGATGCTCATCTGATTGCACAGTAAAATGACTTAACTTAATGGCTCAGCAGAAAACTACTCACTTTGCTGCCAGATTAGTGAACAGAACTGGTTCACAGCATTGTCAGACAGGAACTAGAGCATGGAGACCACCAACAGCAGGCAATGAGGAGTAGCAGAACCCACCCCTCACCAGTGGCAGCAAACCACTTGACTGTTTAGCTACACAGCCCACCACACCTTCATCTGTCCACCCGGAGCACTGAACAAGGCTGAATTTTTAAAGGTTAAAAAAATCCTGTACACATACACAATACTACCTTAGCACATATACAAGACAGGACCAAGTTCCTAGCAAACCTAAATAGAAAGTTTCCCAACCCAAAAGCTTGAATTTTTAAATTTAACATTAAATTTACACAATTTCTCAGCTTGCCTTTTTAAAGGTAACATTCTAGTACATTTAACTGTAATATGGATCAGACTACAATTTCTTCTGTCTGTGCTTTTATTACAGCAGCACTCACTCACTCACTGTACAGTGCCTGTTCCCAACACTGCTTTGACATCAACATATGCCAAACTTTAGAATATTTGTGTTCAATCATTTTAGCATACAGCCAAGGTTTTCCTGAGGAATACAAACACAAAATGGAAAACTGATTTCTAAAACTAGTATTTCTCAGCAAAGCTTGAATAGAATTTCACAGGAGGAGGAGACAGC